AAAGTGTACAACAATATTTTTATTACTATATTAGTCATGCCACTTGGCACTGCATTTATTAGCTTTTGCCATGGTACTTGGCAATGCATTTAGTACTTGGCAATGCATTTATTAGGAGAAAGCTCAACGTGGATCGATAAAGGTCCTTGTCAAAAAAAAAAATGTATTTAGGATATCGTACATTGGTCAAATAAAAAAGGCTCACCTTTTAATAAATACTATAAGGGGACTAATAAAAAGAACTTTCTTATACTCAATACATCGATTAGAAATGGAACAAATATTAAGATATTAATGTACTTTCTTATACTCAATACATTGATTAGAAATGGAAGAAATATTAAGATATTAAGGTACAACGTTCAAAAAGTCCCTAATAAAATGTTGTACCAAACACGCTTATGCATATATTTGATAAATAAGATTTTAATTGTGATTTATATTTTAAATTTTAAATTGCATTTTGTTGGGTTCAAACTTGCACCATAATAGATATATGAAAATATAAATGGTTCTACAATACCATTGTGGAAGATGTTCCACATATATTATATAAAATATTATTTTTACATAATACTTAGTTCAACTTATAGGAAATCTAAAGACCTTTCCAAAGGCCCAGGTTTGAAGAGTTATGAGTAATTTTCTGAACAAATCCCAAAATTCCATTCTGGTCTCTAGTGTACTCAATATATGCATGTGTGTTGTTTTTAGTTTACACACAAATACATGACATACTTGTGGAAAATACACACACATAAATCATATCATGTTTTATCATGGTCCCTAGTGCGAAACAGTGTGCACACTTGACCACAGAACGATAGGTAAAGATGCATACTACTACATAATGTGTTTAGGAACTTTAGTGCACAAAAGAAAGTGTACTTTATGGGAAGTGACGTGCAACATTTAAGTAAGCACATAATGAGCCACCCAAATAAGCTTGGCCCACATGCAGGATCTTCTAGTAGGTCTGCATATGTGGTTCCAGGCAATGAGACATGCTTTGGGATATGGAGACCTTAGATGCAGCCCTAAACTTAGTTTTACTCTAGGCCATCAGAAACCCTAAACCTAGCTCCTATATTATAAATAGACAACAAAACCAAGGAGGAAAGGAGGCCTTTTAGATCTTAGAGAGTTTGGATCACAGAAAAACTTCACCCCAGAACCAATGTTACCGTAACATCCCAGCTTTGGGTTAGTATTGCATGTCGACGCTCGTCAACATATATCAATATGGACTAAGTGCCATCCGCATCATATTAGCCAACTAAAGTATCAACACTTGATCGTATCCAACTTTCGGCTATTATGAATGCCATTTTTTAGACAGTCTTTTCAAGGTTCCAATGGGCAACATGTTCTTCAACAATGGCATTCATTTCTTAGATACACTTCATAAGGCTTTTGATGGCTTTCAAGGGTGACTCTATAAAATTTCAATATGCAACATTTTCCAGCTCACTTCCACCCCTGGGCCTAGATCAGGGAGCCCAATCAAACCTCAAAATGTTGCAGCTGTATCTAGCTCCATGATAGAACCACCTAAGCACTTGGCTCCATTATAAAGCCATTATGTCCGAAGAAAAGAACCCAAATCACCTCTCATTGTAGCAACCTCGTGACACTATTCTCAAATCGGAAAAGGATCTTATCCCAAAGCAGAGGACTAGATCCAACTCCAGCACTATCATGAGTTCCACAGCCAGTCAGCTAGGCTAGTGAATCTCCATTTTCATTTTTCTTTAGCTGTTACATTTTCAGTACTTTAATTTAAGGAAGCATGTGATATAGTATGCATTTAATACTAGTGAACTAAAAACATGGCATGCACATTGTGATTTCAGCACCCACTGTTAAATGTGTAGCACACATGCTATGATCCAAGACAAAGCAGGCAAGTAGTAAGCATGTTGATTCTAAGCACGCATTCTGAAGTTCCAGTACGTAAGTAAATGTCTTCTTCTCTTCAAATCTCTTCATTTAATTTCTACAAGTTCCCAGTCCACTCAATATTTTCAAAAGGATTGTTAAAAACCAGTAATCATCAAATCCTTAACCAAACTCAATAGGATAAGTTACAATTCAACTAGTATGCCAATTCTCAGTGGTCAGAGTTTCGGCATCATCACCAAATTGGTCCCCTAAACCTTGCTTTCAGTAGAACCCCATTTTCCAAAACCCCTCAGCTAGCAAGGCAGCAATAGGCATTCTTCTTTTTTTTTGGAGAAGATAGGAGGCATTAGGCCATTGCCAACCTCTTTTCCTTTTAAATTTTTGGACGTTAAATCTAAAGTGTGTGGAATGAAACAAAGTGGAGGGGCCTTCCAACATCGCATGTAAAACAACAGAAAATAGAAGTGCATCACATGTGACACCATGGAAAATATAGATACAATAACAAACAAGAGTAGGTGTACATAATTACAGCTAAACTGCATGGCAAAGCTAAGACATACTCCTGTTGAGTTATCAAAAATTGGTGAATATAAGACTATATTAAACATAAAGATGGGCTAATCACTAAATCGTAATCATAAAAACAGTTGAAAGTTGATTTCTGTATATGATGTGCATGCCGATTTTGTAGTTGTGTTGTTGTAAGGAATCACATAGTCATTATGGAGCTGATGCAGCTTTGGTTTCAGTATGCCATTCCTAGATTTTTACAGTAGAATGATATTTGTGAACTTAGACACAAACAACACCAATCTCATTAATGCAACCATTCAGAAAATTACTCTTTTTCGGTACATTCTTTTGCCAGGAATTTATCATTGTACAAGAGCCCTGAAATGAGAACATGAGTTCCGAGTTCCAACTTCCAACTTCCAAGTAAAATTCAAGAAATATATGAGAAATGCGTGCAAATAATGCCAGGAGAGTTGCCCTCCTCAAATAGAGGACATGATAAACATTGCCAACAAACTGAGACCTGTTTATAAAGAACCTGCATGTCTAGCAAATGTTAAATGCAAAAGCGCAATCACAAAGTCTTTAGAAGTTAGAATTCTGGTAATATTAAATGGACACAAGCCATCACAAAGTCTCCAAAAATTAAATCCATAAATAGAAAAAAAATAAAAACTGAAATTTTCTCCCAAACGCAATCACAACATTTTATTGAACTATTTAGATAACTATAAATATCTACAAAATATAAAGGATGCAATAATTCTGCAGGAGCTGAATTGAAGAAGACAACTCTCAAAAAACTGAGGTGAAAAGAACACGATCAGTGCAATCAGTAAATTCAGCAGTGAAAAATCTTTTGGGAAAATTTCGTATAAAACCCTAATTCCTCATATTATTTCATGGTAGACCCCTCCTTCCGTTTTTCTTTCAAGCAGCATAAGAAAACCCCTAAAGATTTCACCATAACCCCTCA